TGTATAAGCGTCCTTTCCAGATGGCACGTACAGTCCGTTGCATGGAACTCCTAATGTTTTGGCAGTTCTCCTTTTCTGCTACTTGCACTTGCTCATTCTTGCATTATAAGTGAAATGGAATACAGTGTTTTCCACTTCTTTCTCATCAAAGTGGTTAACCTGCCTTGTTGGGGGTCAATGTCAACTGAATCCCCATGCTTTCTAGGGAAGACACATTTTGACAAAGTCTAAGGCGTTGACGAAATTAATCAATGCATCYTCACTGGATAAGTCCATCCTGTCAACCATTGCTTGTCCGCATTTGTCTAAACAGAAGCAAACAGACAAAAACGTTGGAAATGAATATTAAGGTTGAATCTTGGCATTCTATTCCTTAAAGTTTACCTATAGTTTTTGATTATATCACAATACTAAAACGTGACCAATCAGATCATTACTCCTCCTCCGAATAGTTTGTGCTTCTGTCAATAGCAAACATGTATTTAATTTCGCCGCAGATTTGGAATTTTAATCTTAAACTCAGTCCACTAACAAAAGAACGGTAAAAATAGTCTTGTCTGTACTCCATAAGCGTATTTTCGCTCATGTGGTTGGTCTAAACGCATCACGTGACTGAAAATGCCCCAGGTAAAACTGGGCAAAATATGAGTAATATTCCTCATTTTCAAAAGATCTAGCGTATTGCATAATATATTTGGCTGAGGATAATAAACACAATAGCTCCATATGTTGACATTAAAAATATGTAAGGATATATGTCTTTGGCATTATGTGCTCCTCAGAGCTCACGGTTTTCCTTGAGCTTTGCTCTAAGAAAACCGTTTGCTTCTGGGAACTGATACCTATTTGCTTCTGGAAACTGATACCCTCTGTGGACAAATATTTTCATCAGAGTGCATAACACTTTTCAGGGAATAGGATAGAAGGATAGAAGAGGGGACTCAATTGGTAGCCTTTTTTTGTATTTCACTCCATTCTACTCAGATATTTGGTCACACGGGTATGTCATTAAAAGCCAGTTTAACAAGCTAATTTCACCAGCTGAACAAGGGCGTATCCACAGCTATAATTTCATAAGAGAACAAAGATTTGGGTTCATTTTAAAAGTGCGTAGCTTGGCACAAATAAACAAAAAGCCTAAAGCCAGTTTACATGTACCAGTCCATCTGTCTGCCTGCCTCTTACAGACATCTCAAAACTAAGATCTTTTATGGTTGCAAAATAGCGATCTAAAATGCCAACAAATCAGACATAAACTGTGACAAGAAATGAGGAATACACACACCTTTGGGAATATTGCTGTTCCTGTGTAATTTCCACAGATCTCTTCATGATCAGTAGTGTTATCTTTTTTCTTATTTTCCTTGTAGATCATATGTGAAAAGGAGTATATAAACATATCAAAATAATTGCACATTTGATTAGTAAACAGTTAGCAACTACTTGTACACTTTTTTCCACTGAAAAAAATTCCTGAAATTAAATGATTTAACATGAGACATGCCTGTATGGAATCGYATAGCTGTTGTATTCATTGAAACAAAAATCCAGTCCAAGATGATGAAATTACAACCACTATGATTCCCAGCARCYACATCCCRTAGAAGGAAATGGCCATTATTCGGACAAATTTGCCAACAAAATTTTAAATTGAGTAAAAGCAAATAAAGGTCTTTGTCAATTTACTTTTACTAAGTTATTATCAAATCCTCTACGCCTTAAATTCGCTACTGATCCCATCAATAGTTATGAATTAATCATATTTAATTTTGCTTGAAAAAATTTGGTTTGGAAACCTGATGGCCAAACCAAAACAGTTGATATTGTAGACCACCAGAGATAGTGGAGCTCCAAATGACTGATCCATAAGCCTGATACAACAAATATCAAAATATATTTTTACTACAATTTCTACTGATCTCGCAATCTGATTGTCATCACAGTGGTCAAAATTTGTTGTGGACTCACTTGGCTGTGCTTCGTGACTCCACAACATTTTGGCCACTGTGATGATGCGCATCATTGTCAATAAGAGTACAGACCACGCTAAACCACATTCGATTTGTTAAATTCAAACCAGTGAAGTCATTTATCAACATCTATGAACAAACATTATCATAATTTCAACTGTGGCAACAAACAGAACTTTTTTTCAGCAGAATGGTAACTAGAGACAAAAGTAGAAACTTATCCTTAGATTAAATTTCCAGAGTCAACAACTCTTTCAATGGTATAATGAATATAATAATTAAGTCAGGTCGAGATGGATTGTCATGCATGGCTGACTGAGTTTTTCCTTCAATGCAAATTTCCTTCATATTTGCATGAGCTTTCTTTCAAGGGAATTGTTTAAGCTCAGAAATTACCAGAGGCATTGTGCACAACAATTTATACGTAGATAGAGTTAAAATTAAGCTTAATTATTGAGTTGCGTTTATTTCAAGCACTGATCATGCTAAAATCTATGCTATGACAAACACTTCAATTTAATGCACAAGACTTGACTGAGTAAGAAAAAAATTATCTTTGTCAACTTTTGTAAATGAGTAAATGTGAATTGAAAATAAAGTCTTGTCTTTTCTTAACGAAGAGCTTTGCCGATCAATTGTGATTCAGTGAAGTGCAATTAATCTTCGACCAAAATGTTTTCACTGCCGAGGATCTGTCCTGCTATGAATATACGCAATTCATAGCTCTTTATGTAGCCACTGCTGCGTTTAATTTACTTTTTAAACTCCGTTATTCTCTGAAAATTGAAAACAAATGAACGAAATTCAAAGACTTACCTTTCCTGGTCCAAAGCGCATTGAAAATTTCACCAGATCCGCCATAATGAAGCCAAATGAAGAAAAATGTCTGCTTTCCTCACAGCCGACTTCGTTGACCTTTAGTCTCCTCCCTGATTGGCCAGAAAAATGCGGGAAGCCGCTGGCAACCGCGTTTTTCCCGCTGTTTTTCGAGCTGTTTTCGAGCTGTTTTCTTGTGCCCCCTCCCAGTCAAGTGAAAACTTTTTTATTAAAAAAATACACATTGGCAAGAAAGCAAGCTTTCATTTAATCGTTAAAACGGAAAAAAA